ACACACACACAAATAAGCCTCTTTACCATTTAGGAGAAAAAACACACAGTGAACCTGCAAACAGTTGCCTGTCCTCATTAAAATGTTATGCCTAACATTTCTCAGGCAGTTTTTTGAAAAAATAAAAAGGAGCCCATCACTCAATTGGAAGCCAAGATTGAAATTGAAAATGAAAATGTTTATTCCTCAGGGATAAGAACTTCCCACAGCAAAAACCAACCCATTAGGAATGTCTAGCAGTCAGGTCCACTCTAATTGACCCAATGTGGGTTTGAAACAAGAAAATCTTCAGCCAGCTGAAATGGTTTTCAGCATATCTAGAGTGAAATTGGCACAGGTGAGCTCATACAGGGAGGGCAGAATAGATTCAAAGTGATCTCCTGAAAATAGGATCTCAGAGAAATGCTTCTAAGTTTGACTCCTCCTGGTATGTTTTTTCTTTAGCTTGAAACTGGATCTGCCCATATTTTTTCTAAGACAACAAAACTCAATGATGAGGAAAATAAGGTCGCATACTTCGGCAAGAAAACCCAAATGCATAGGTATAGAATAGGTGGTACCTGGATCAGTAGTAATAACTGTGAGAGAGATCTTGGAGTCCCCAGTGGGTAATCCCTTAAATATGAGTGTGCTGCAGCCACCAAAAAAGCAAAGCAGTCCTAGGCTGCAGTAACAAAGGGATAGAATCAAGATCATGTGAAGTGTTAGCACCACTTTATAATGCTTGGTAAGACCACACTTGGAGTCAGGGGTGGGAGGCAAATATTTTTACTACCGGTTCTATGGGTGTGGCTAGGTAGGTGTGGCCGTGTGACTGGGTGGGTGTGGTTTTTTTTTCGCAGCACCTCCCCCGGCTTTCCTTTTTTTTTTTTGGCCTCCTGGGCCTCAGGGAAGCCTCCTGGGAGGCCATTTTTGCTCCCAGGAGGCTTCCCTGAGGCCCAGGAGGCAAACAACAGAGCACGAGAGTATGTGCACAGCACACACACACACGTGTGCCCCTTTTTGCCTCCTGGGCCTCAGGGAAGCCTCCTGGGTGAAGCAGTAAAACAGCGTGGTGGATCCCGGCACAGCTGATCATCGGTACAGCTGATGATCAGGAGGAAAAGAAAAAAGAAATACCAGTTCGGCCGATCCGGTAGCTGTTTTCTTACTACCGGTTCACCTGAACTGGGCTTGAACCAGTAGAATACCACCACTCCTTAGAGTACTGTGTTCAATTTTGGTCATCACAATATAAAAAAGATCTTGAGACTCTAGAAAGAGTGCAAAAAAAGAGCAACAAAAGTTATTAGGAGACATGAGGCTAAAACCTATGAAGAACAGTTGAAGAAATTGGGTAAGTCTACAGTAGTTTAATGAAAAGAAAGACTAGGGAAGACACGGCAGCAATGTTCCAATAGCTAAAGGGTTTCCATAAAGAAGAAGGGTCAACCTATTCTCCAAAGCATCTGAAGGCAGAGCAAGAAGCAATGGAAAAACAGTGAGTGAGCAAGCAAACAAAACCTCTCAGTTTGAGGAAGGAAGGAAGGAAGGAAGGAAGGAAGGAAGGAAGGAAGGAAGGAA